GTTCTGCGTGTGGGTGTACATGTACGTACGTACGTGTGGGGGATGTACGCGCCGCGTGGCCTGTCGAACGACCGCCTTGTTGGGTCTGAATTAGCCGAGCATTGGTTGGAAGTCGCTGGAGAAAAAGTTGTTTCATTATTGATGGCTCCAATGTTCGCTCCCCCAAGAGCTGTTGCATCTTGCGGAGCAGTTGGGAGGGCTTTCGATCCCCCAACTCCTAAGTTGTCAAGAGTTGGTGCAAGCGTTTTTGTTCAGATTGAGATGTGCGCTTGATAAGCTCCTTTTTCAGCGTTGTGTATGGAGCCTCCGAGGGTGGAGTAACTTCCGGGTTTAATGTCTTTCTTTACTTTTTCGTCCAGTTTTGGACGAAAATGGGCGGGCTTCAGGATATGCGGGTATGGCGTGATGATTATGTAGGTTCGTCTTGGACCAATCACATGAAACAACCTTCCCAATAGTATGATTAATTCATTTTTAAGCTGACCAATCGTAAGCTTCACAAGAATCATGTGACGTCGCGCGGCATGCATAATGCATTTGTCATCATGGCGTCTTTTTAGCGAGAGCGAAATGTTCGTTACTTTTTCAACAATTTGACATTGATTCGAGTTTTTCGGCTCGTGTAATGAATCCATTTGAGTGGGCAACGATCGTCTAATGACAGCATTACCTGCATAATTCGTTGGAGCCTTCAATACTGCTTCGGACAGACTGGGACTGAACGACTTTCACCCACAGCAACCGGCCACCATTGCAGCGTTTTTTTCGCGGATGCGACGTGTTTGTTAGCCTATCGCGGGCTTACCAATGAGAATTCAGTATACGCGGGGGTGGTACCTCATTACCGTAATAGGTTTTGCTGGGTCAACTCAAAACCATCAAGGCGTTGGGTTACGCGGACTAGCTCATGCATGTACATGTACTGTGTGTGTACATGTGTTGTACGAGTACATTTGTACGTATGTGTACGTGCGTACGTACAAGCATAGCCTCGCTGTATGGTACAAGTTACTTTCTCACTAGTAGCAGCATACGGGCATCGATATGTGCACGCAATAATGCCTTGCCAAGTTGATTGGGGATTTTCTTATCGGCGATTTATTTTTTTATCGGCGAATCGATAAGCCCAACGCCTTGGTCAAGGCTACCCAAAACCCTCCTCCGGATCCGCGCCTGCTCTCCCTTACTCTTCTAACTCATTTTGTTCTGAAACACGACTGGTTATTGGACTACTGTAAATTCAAATTCATAAAATTTCACCTCTACTGATTTCAAAGTTTCTAGCTATCAACAAAGGCGTGCTATTTTTACCTTGCTTGCACACACATCATGTGCAACGCGGATAGGCCCTATTGTGCGCGGGATTTACTTAACCTCAAGTTCACTTACGACATTCGTGTGGCCATGAAGTTTCTTTACGATGCAGGTTTTTTTTTAGTCGGAGTTTCAGAAAGCCGCTGTACAAGGGTCGCTAAAAAGCATCGGGTACCTATTCAACATGTTTGCTTTGTGGAAGTATGGCTTGTTTACTGCAGTCTCCGTGTTTACACTCATCACGTGACGAATGATTATGGTTCTTTAAAAAGGACAGTAGACAGTAGATAAGGCCAAAAAAACAAGTCTCCGGTTTCTGGTATGAAGCTTGCCCAAAAAAGTGGTGCGGCGACGCGGCTTTTTTTTTGTTTTTACATGATTTTTTTGCTTTAAATGTCGGCTGATGACTGCAAATGGTGCCCGACTAAACTTAGTGCAAATTATATGGGAGTCAAGAGAGGCCACATAAAGCTTTTGTCGACCATAACCCAATCTAAAAACACGTTAAAATTGTGCAGCAGCAGGATTCCAGTCAGACCAGTGAGTTTGGCGGTTTTCAGACATCAACTTTCATTGGAAATAATTTTTTTTCATTTTGCCGACGCGCATGGCTACGGCGACGCGCGCGCATACCAGAAACCGGAGACTTTTTTTTTGGCCTAACTGATCCTTTTTTGAAGAATAAATTTAATTAATTAAATGAGTTTTAATTTTAAGTCTGCGAAGAGGAATAATCCAGTATCCAGTATGAATCATGAACTTTGAAAATAATTAGACGCGCATATTCGTCGTTACCTGTTTAGAGCATTTCTGCAACTTTTGTGAACTCAGGCAATCATAATATGCAAAGATTAGGGTTTTTTGCACAAATGTATTATGATCATAAATTAGCTCATCGTAAGCATTTGGTCATTAGTGGCTGTAGTGTACTAACAATAAAATAGAATAAATCAATACAAAATAGAATATATCAATAATAAACAAATAAACATAAAATAAACAAACAACTTATTTCAGCCAAAACAATCCACATTCTGGATTTTTAAAACCACCAAAAACATGACACTTGTGTGTATTGAATTGCATGTGAGTTACAAAATTGTGTGTATTGAATTACATGTATAAAGGTAAAAAGAACACAATGGCTCATTTAAAAAAAAATCATGGAAAAATCTTCAAAACTGAAGTTTTGTCTGAAGGAAACAACTATTATGATTTTAAATATGCTCTTTGTTAAACTGCAAACAAAACTATAAACCACACTACAGGCTACGACTTTAACTGAAAATATCTTGCAAAAATATTCTGTACAATAAAGCCAATATTTAGACACAATTCTTGAGCTAGATACAATTGATATTAGCCAGCAACATAATTTTTCGCCACATCGCATTTTCTCAGTGTAATTTTGTTTACTTGTTATAAACAGATAAAACAAATTAAGAAGGTAATGTTGTATTTACATTTTGACTCTGCATGTCATTAAACGTTTTTTGAATATTCATATTGCCAAAGACAATGGTGTTTGCATGTCTTGATAGTTTTAACACTAATCGACATGAATATTCATGTTCCAAAACTGTGATGTCATTCCAGGCTGAACTTCACATGATGCCGGAATTTCCAATTCTTTTACTGGTTATTGGTTATTGTTTTAAATGATTTACTGTAGCTTCAGTGACAGCAATTCATTGAGCAATTTCTATACACAAAATAATGTTCTCAATAAGTATTTTTGAACTGAAAAACTCTAAATTGAAAAGTGTGTGCCTAAATTGACATCTCAGATTAACGTGGCCTTCTGTTGCAAAGAAAAACAATGATACAATGTTAGTATTAAGAAAAATCACTTTAAATTTTAAAAAGTTTAACTTTGGCGATATATTTTATCCAATGGATAGACACATTATATACAAATATATACAAAGCACCACAATCAAAAACGGATACATGTCCGGAAAGTTTATTTTTAGCAAGAGGGTAAGTCCGCTCTCTGCCCTCTTCTTGTCTCACTGAAGCACTAGGCAACAGAATAAGACCCAAGAAGGTTTGGCAAGAATGGATTTGTTGCAATTGTGACACTTTAGCACTTCTCACTCCAGTTATAATGTATTGGTACTTTTTGTTTTAACGTTTTGCCCCTATTTGCAAAATGAATCGGAAGGCTCAATTGTCAAGATTGAGACCTTTCATCTCTGAATTGACGAGTTGCCTTTTTATCACTTCAATGTTATTGTGCTTTTTAATGTACTGCATTAACTAGTTCTTAATCTTGTGAAAGGCCCTACATGAATCCTAACGACACCACTCTGCCCCTCAATGTTCGCCCACTGACAAATTAATAGTGTCGGTGTTCGCTTATAGTTCGGTGGGTCGTTCCCCGTGGCACTCTGTTTACCAGCTCAACTGCAGTATTCCACGAGAAGTAGTTGAAATGACAAGATTATCTGTGTTGAGTGATGGGCCTCATATATCCATGACGGGAGCTGTAAAACAAAATCAAAACGCATTGCTAGAATATTGATAGAACGTTTCACATCTTACTGCTGATCTTTGCATGCTTTTCTAGATTTTCAAATCTAGACCCACACAGAGTATTTTTTTGATCCCCAAATGTCCGTCTTTTGCTGCGCGACATGTTGCCGGTCCTGCAGAGGGCGCGCATGTTTTCATCTTTCTGTCTATCTCACTGGCTCACTGAATCACTGTGACTTGTAAATACCTAAGACAGTTAATCATTTCTATTGGCCGAGAGCCCGTCACGTGGCCGGTCTTAAACACTTTTCTACTACGACGTCTGGTCCGTTTTCTTGGTTTAACGCTCACAATATTTGCTAATTTAGGCATAGTTATGCGCAATACAACCAATGAGCCCGTGTTTTGAATCCTACTTTCACACTTCCCCGTTGCAATCTCCCCCCATCGCACAGGACGCGCCACGCGCGCGCCAATTTTCATAATTATGAGGAACTTTGCTTACGACTACTCGCGAGAGGGACATACCCACAACATACCTAGAGCGGTGTATCGAAAAACATGAAGTACACAGTTGAATAAAAAACGTTGGCAATGTAAACGTTTTGACTTGCTTTGACTTTGGACCGAAAAGTTTGGCTTTTTCCACCGAAAAAGTTTTTTATGAAGGGCCTCCGGCTTGTGTCATTATCAGCATCCAGACTCCAAAACTGTCTTAAACATGGTCTTTTATACCGGACAAGCAAGCACCACGCAGTGCTGAAGATTAATCCCATAGCGGCAATGAATGGTCTACCTCAGTCCAATTATTGTTTATAACACATGCATGAACAGATTTCAAGTTACTATTACTTATGCGCTGTGCGTGGATTAAGTATAGGCACAGACCGAGCGCAACCCAGACTTGGCCAAGTATAACACTCCTCCATAGACTAGGCGCACGAACCTAGTACAAGAACCGTTTTGAACAAAAGACCCAACACCCGAGGACTAAAAGGATCCTTTCTTCTCCCTTTGTGTGTCTGTCCTCGGGGGTTATGTAGAACACGTACACACTGTCCGAAACGTCAAGTTCTATACTCAACCAACCAGTTCTTTTCAGAACCACACTTTTTCCAAGAAGAGATATTTTTTTCCACATGGTGGTTACCCGCAAACTGTATAATGTGGCTAGTTTTATTATAGATACTAACCTGCATGTACACGTAGTTTTATGAGTGCCCGTGTATGATCGAACAAATCATACGAGTAGTAGGCCAAATGGCTGTTAAAAGCGTTTCTTTTCCTGCATCAACCTGTTCACTGTGGGCTTTGCCGTATCGACAAAGGTTCACGAAATGCTCGCAGTTTCTTTCGAAAAGGTTGTAATTAATCGGCTTTTCGTCTCGATGCATTTCCGTTGCCACTCTGATGATGACGCCCAGATCCAGACACTTTACTATTTTGTCTCTTATGTTGTTGATTCTCACCAAGCCAAAATTGCCGAGCACCTTCCGAATGGGATCAGCTCGTATCTCGGGCTTTCGACTGGCAGATGACGCACTGCCTGATATCTTCTTTTTGGAGAATGCCGCCCCTCCTTCGAACATACCGAAATGGATGACAGCGTGTTTCTCGTTCTCGTACTCACCGACGTATATACCCCAATGTGAGTACATGACACGGTTGAACTCCAGCCTATCGCCAATGTACACCTCGTCTTCCAATGCTCTCATGTCCGTTTTTGTAGACCAACGCCAGTCACCCAGAACCCCAACATTGTTTGCCATTTCTCCTGAAGAAATCCAACGCGTCTTATTACACGCGAAAAGCTGATATAATTGAGAAATAAGGTTTGCACAGTCAGACAGGGACTGTTTTCCCTAACTAGGCCTATCTGTGTTATGGATTTGTTTGTCTCTTAATGACCCATAATCAACATCGATAATCTGTCGACACAAAAATTGCTGTCATTTCTATTTTATACGCAGCGGTTAAGTATTCATTAACATGGTGGTCCAAAGATCGAGTGCGCTTTAATATTGTGATGGACGAACTTTAATCGGCCATCCGGGATTCAAGTTGACAATTTAACTATGAAGGACTCGGTGAATTAAAAGGCAGTGAACACAGACTTTTCCGTACTCAAATAATTTATTAATTAAACAGAACAAGACCGAATCCATAAATACACAAACTGCAGTCTACAGGGAGCTATGGTGACCACACACCTCTGGAACACAGACAACCAGCGTGGGGCTAGACCGTGGGTTTTATTCTTAGCACAAGAATCACAAGATCGTACCCAATTATCTATATCTCTATACATGAATTTCCAATAGTATTTTTGTCTGACTTTACTATAAGTCCTATGGAATCCAAAATGAGCTGACAGTACATGATCATGACAATTGTAAAGAATAGTATCTACTAGAGTCTTTGGTATATACAATTGAACAATGTATCGCTCAGGTAGTTTGCGTGTCCTAGGACATTTCTGAACATTTCAATTGACGACTCCATTGAAGAATGTCAGTTACATAAGCATCAATTGACTCAGATTCGCCTTGTGAACGGTCAGCAAGTTTTGCTTCGCGGACCCATCTAGCGCTATCCCCTTCAAATACTTGTTTGAGGGAAGTGACCACTTTAGAAAAGTCATTTTTATCACTGTCTGACAAACCAGAATAACAAACAGCGGCTGGACCTTTTAATCGAAGGCCCAAAGCTAAAGCCTTTTTGTCGCTAGCAAAATCTCGCAATTTAGCGTATGTCTCGAATCTATTAAGAAAAAGGTCGAGATCTTCTGTTCCTGAATATGTGTCGTCAAAGTTACACTCATATTTACTAGCCATTTTGAAACAATTACATTTAACACGTGTAGGCTAAATACAGAGTACGGGTTTTTCTATTTTTGTATTAACCTCATTTATACAACCAAAATACACTGGTCAAAATATAAAAAAAATATTTACATTGTATAGTTACGTACCATACAGACCAGCGGGTCTGTGTCCGCGTGTGGTCACGCCATGCTGTGTAGATTCGGATCTTTCACCATATGTGATGGTCGAACTTTAATCGGCCATCCGGGATTCAAGTTGACAATTTATCTATGAAGGACTCGGTAAATTAAAGGCAGTGAACACAGACTTTTCCGTACTCAAATAATTTATTAATTAAACAGAACAAGACCGAATCCATAAATACACAAACTGCAGTCTACAGGGAGCTATGGTGACCACACGCCTCTGGAACACAGACAACCAGCGTGGGGCTAGACCACTGATCTCTATATAAAGACTGGATAGCTAATAAAGAGCCGCACAATGTACGAATTTGACGCCATATTGGTGAGACCGGCTGGTGATCTACGAAGGACAAGTTGCCGTCTTTATAGACAGCATTATTTCTTTTGTAACGTCGCGGCTCACTTGACTTATATTTTGGCCACCACCACTGACCAACTGACCAAGGTTTACTAAAATTTTTCTAACGTCGTGGTTACTTTTATAATGCCGCAAATCACTTTTTCGGCGTTTTTGAAATAATAATCACTACGGAAATGTGTCCTTTTTAGAACATCATAATATGTGTACGTGACCAAAATGCGCGTCAACTGTTGATACAACGCGCGCGTATTTACGCGTAGAACGTTCGTATATACGCGGCCATCTTCGTGAGACCGGGGGCGAATTGGTCAATATGCAAAGTCTACTGTGTGAATGTTGTATGCATATCCGCTATCCAGTCTTTATATAGAGATCAGTGGGCTAGACCAAAGATCTTATAGCGCCGAAGGCGCAAGATGGGGAACTCCATAGAAATTGGGAAATCGTCATGGACGCCATTCGAGCAAGCACACCATTGTGCAAACCATTGTTTGCACAATGGTTTGCTTCGAGTAAGCAAACCATTGTGCAAACAAAAGGTTTGCACAATGGTTTGCTTGCTCGAATGGCGTCCATGACGATTTCCCAATTTCTATGGAGTTCCCTATCTTGCGCCTTCGGCGCTATAAGATCTTTGGGCTAGACCGTGGGTTTTATACAGAATTAATACGGCTGGGTTATATAATCGAATTCCAAAGGATAGTGAATTCGGATTAAGAAGCACTTGTACTCGTTCCGCAATAACGTAAGTAAATAATCAGGTGAAAGCACTGTAAAATAATCAGGTGCATCACAATATGCATCGCTGGTATTCCCCAAAACAACCCTAACAATGCGTTATAGGCCTATTGCAACATCGGAGGCAATCCCCAATTTTGTGAAAAAGCATCAGTATCGTAACATCTCACCAAATATTAAAGTTCAGGTTAAAGAGGATAAAACGACCAAATATATATAAGAAAAACAGCTGTGTGAATGCTGATTATATTTGGAGCCGTGGAAAAGATAAAGTTGTTGATAATGACAATAATAAGGAATACTGTTAAGAAATGGCGATGTTTTAAGAAGCCAAACTATCCCAATTGTAATCCTTCCAATCCTATATTTCAGATCCTAAGGTGTCTGATGTCGGTCTGTCTGTCTGTGTAACGCGAAGCGCGGCATCCTATAGGCATACTAGTATTAAAACAAATCATCAGTGTGCAATAAACGTTTACTTAACATTTACATATACAGGGCTGTGGATGTACTCGTTATGTATCATACAATTCACAATGTACACAACAGTCCCGGTTCCGATTTGACCAAAAATCCGGGTTTTGTTTGGTCTGACACTTTTCTGGATCAAAAAGATACTTTTTTTTCCTAAGGTTTCCGGATCACAATGACCCTGAATGGGCCAGGAAAGTGCCATTTGTCCCTGAAAAGTGTCACTTTTCACTCGAGTCAGGCCAAATCAAACTAGTCCGGGTCAATCTGACATGCGACCTTTCAGAGTGTTTCTGAAAAAGGACGAGTTCCTTTCGGAAATGTTAAGAGGTCTTTTCCAAGGACTTTCGAAAAAGTATGATAATATGGATCATCAATAGGCGTAGATTGTTTTGAGTATTGTACTTTTAGTATTCGGTCGGTTGAAGAAAAAAACCATCGTCAGGAAGAATCTAGCCATCAGGAAGCCTGGAAGGGGGAGTCGATTCGTGGGGGGATGGTGGTGGTGGTGGTGGTGGTGGAGTGGTGGTAGTGAGGGTTACTGAAGGCCAGGGTTGAGTAAAGGCTGTAGTGGGTCCGACAATATGTTGAAATATAGTTTTAAAAAATTCCCCTTTCTCGTATCCTAAGGCAATTTGAGAACAAATTCAGGCATTTCAGCATTCCATTTATTATTTTGGCCCCATTTTACTAGTTTGACATGTTTCAGCGACTAAACGGGGGTAGGAGGATGGGTGCCGACCCTACCTCCTACATCCGCCACTAGTAGTGTGAAGTGATTTGTACCCGATCAGCAGATATACATGAATGTCGCAATAGAATATTAATCTCAGTTTGCTCTTGATATCATTGTTCTGTTCTCATGAATACACATATACTGGCCCGATCGAAACTACTGAATTATTCATGACTTCGCCCCTTCCTGGGATGACAAAAAGTACTCAAGCTGCCGTCTGCTAGAGGCTATTAGGTAAGAAATCTTGCTGTTTTGTGCTTTAATTAATCTTTACTACTAACGTATTTAATTCATAAGTTAATTATTTGCATTATTTCTAATTACCTTAACATTACCCCACATTGTTTTAAAATTACTAACATTTTCAGCTGATGCTCAATACTCATTATAAAACCTATCCACAGTGTTAGTTAACTAAAAATACAAATGGATAAAAATTGTACTCTCAATCGACTCATTAAATGTTCAAGTCATTTTAACCATCCGAGGGTTTTGAAGATTTTTTGTACTTCTTGTTTTTTTTTTAATTTGAAGCAATTATGTTAGAGATCTCCTTTCGCAAACAATTACGATAGGTATGAAATTATTAGCTCATCGCATGCATTTGCTCATTGGTGGCTGTCGTGTAGTAGCAATACACTAGCATACACGAAATTATTAAATAATCAATGATTAATAAATGAACAAAATAAACAACTGATTAAAACTCAAAACTCACTGAAATACAATATATAAGAACTGAAACTTTAGGCAGGCCTACAAAGGACACCAAGCACGTTTCAATAATTCCATGTAAAAATCCGTCAAAACCCACCAAGGTTTGAAAAAAAATACATGTTGTTAAGGTGATTTAAGTTAATTTGCAAACACAAGTACTCAACAATACTATATTAAGACTTTCATAAAAATTATCTTGCACATACATTATATATAGTAGAGGTAATGTTTAAACAACATTCTTAAGTAGAGTAAAATCAATATAACAAACGAAAGACTTTTTCGCCACATCGTAGAGTGCTACATCAATAATTGTATTTACATGTTCTAATAAAATAAAACTAGACTTATATTGATGCATTTCTGCAATCCTGTGTCTCATTGAAAGTAGCATGCCAGAAAGAATAATTTCACGGGAAGTTTAGTGTCATTACTATCTTTAAACCAAAAAAAGTGTTTCAACAATAGTTTTGACAGTTACTTTTTGAATAGTTGTAATATATATTTAATCTATATACCTTTAATTGCAAGGTGTCATGTTGTCAACACATTTAAACACCCCTGCTTCATTAGCATCGACTCATTGTTTTGATTAATCTGAGTCTACATGTTGTTCTTCGAAGTTTAAGTTCTCGTAGAATACAGGGTGGCACATACACAACTCGGGGAGACGTGTAGAAAG